TTTGGGAAAGCGACGGAACCAGATGGAATTCCACCAGAAGCAATGAAAACAGACACAGAGACAATAGAGGATATGCTAACACCACCACAGCAGAAGTTGTGGAAGGAAGGAAAGGTACCCTTCCGATTGACTGGAAGAAGGGCCACCTTGTCAAACTCCCGAAGAAGAGCAACCTAAGTGTTTGCGAGAATTGGCACGGAATCATGCTCCTCTCTCTGACCACCCCAAGCAAAATAATTATACCACATCATCCTGGAGAGACTAAAAGATGCGCTGGATTCAAAATTACCACCGAAACAGACTGGATTCAGGAAGTACAAATCATGTGCGGATCAAATTGCAACGCTATGCATCGTCACAGAACAGAGCACCTTACCTCAACTACATCGATTTTGAAAAAACCTTCGACAGTGTCGACCGAGAAGCAATTTGGCAGGCAGCTGCTTCAACACTACGGTTTTAGTACCACAAGCCTTTATCAACCTCATTCAACAGCTATATGCCATATGATGCTACATGCGAAGTGATTCACAATGGAAAGCTCAGTAACGCCTTTGAAGTGAAGACGGAAGTCAGACAATGTTGCCGCCTACTATCACCGAAAATTATCCTGATTGTGGTTTGCTGAACCGGATCATGCAACAAACTGTGGGGAGCGAGAAGAGGGGCATACGCTGGCTGGATCGACGAAAAGACCCCAAAAGAAGATTTGGATTTCGCCAACGATGATTTATGTCTAATGTCTTGTCGCACAAACTCAAAGATCTACAGGCGAAAACTAACACGTTGGCAGAAGAGGCGGGGCAGCGGTGATACTTCAAGTGAATGTAGAGAAGGATAGAGGTGATGAAGACACCCAGCCAACAACAGTATCAACAACAAGCATCAATCACCATCAACGGGAGAAACCTAAAGGAAGTAGTCTCTTTCACCTACCTGCCCAGGCAGCAACGTTTCAACTACAGGTGGCGCAAATGAAGACGTCAAAACCAGGATAAGAAAAGCAAGACAGGCTTTCATTATTCTGAAATCAGTGAGGAGATCTACTGCACTGCACTCAGCATAAAGCATCAACAAGATCCGGATTTTCAACACCAATGTCAAGTCAGTGCTACTATGTGAAGGTTGAGACTTGGCGCGATACGAAAAGCATTTCCAACAAACTACAGACATTCATCAACAGGTGCCGTCTACGCTCACTCGATACTGAAGATCAGATGGCCAGAATTAAAAAGCAACAAGGAACTCTGGCGGGCCAACAAACCAACGGAGAACCCATCGCCCAACAAATATGCAAAAGGAAGTGGAGATGGATTGGATTGGACATTCACTGAGAAGACCATTTGGGGACATCACGCGTCAGGCCAGGCACTCGAGTGAAACCGAAATGGGAAACGACGAGTTGGGCGTCCGAGGCGAGGGTGACATGGAGATGGTGTGAGGAAGAAAGGAGAGCTTGTGGCGAGTGGTGGAGCCAGGTCGAAAAGACTGCAGAGAACAGAGTGCAATGAAGACGTGCTACTGAAGCCTTATGTTCCACTGGGAACCCAGGGAAAAAATTAATAACAATGCTTAGACTTGGGAATCATTTCACTGTGTTTTATCTCCAATCAGTATTTATGTGCTATGTGATAGGTTTCATTCCGTTGCTTCAAAACTGCTCACGTCAAACAGCAGCATAGAGACGTTCACAAACCAAATTCAAATCATCTGCATCTGTCAATGTGTTTGTCGCACAGAACTACTGGAGCTCTCTACCGGAGGAGATATTGCCTGCAACTTCTGTTGATGCTCTCAGAGCGAGGCAGAACCCTCGCAGTATTATCACCTTCAGCGAAAAGTTTATGTCCTTGATCTTGTTCCCTTTTCTCTGATGACATTGTTTATGGATGCTTCAGTTCTTGTACGCCCTCGTTTTTTCACTCACAGTTTTGCTATTATTGGTGTTAGCTTGCACTGTGAGGCTTTCTTCTGTTGTTCTTTGTCTGCTACTCTAAAAATTTCTCCAACATACCTTTGAGAGTTCTTGATGTGTTGCTTATATAACCGAGTTGACCGCCTTCGTTTCCCCGGGGAATGTGAATTTTTTATCCTGAATATTATAACCAGTGAAGATACGTCAACTGTATTTGAGCTTCAGTAAATCTTCACCGAGCTGAAATGTATGCAGGGAGAAGATATCCGCGTGATTCTTTCTGTCTAACTTTAGTTGACGGTCAAGTGCATTCGTCGAATTTGTGCAACAGCTTCCATTAATGAATAGTACGAGGAAGTATACGCGAAGTTTCTGGAACAGGGTGGCTCCTGAAGTCTTCTCCGCAGCAGCTAATTCACTGAGACTGATTTTCTATCCGTTAAGGAATCTATTTTGTCATAAATAATGAAACATAGTTAGCCATCCCCGTAGTTGCTAAGTTTGCACTTAGAGCTACCCCATAGGAGTGGTTAACCTTCTTAAATTCGCGCTGCAATTCGTAATATTATTAACACCTTTGCGGGGACACTTTTTCATGCGCCCGATACTTGTTGCAACGCCATTCACGGAGGACATATTGTAGATGTGCGTCAAAAATGGTAGGTCGTTATCGGCACAACACCTAATAATAATAACAATATATTTCGAATGATGAATTGTGCGAACACATGCCATTTTACAGTCAATATCTAGGTGTCATTTACTAATTGAAGCTGTAAAAGTTTAGAAAGGAACAAATCACAGCGCCATACAAAGTCTTCTGGAGCAAACAACTGGTTAGATATTGCTGGTCATAAATATTGGATAAAAGCAGTATCGTTAAACAGCAGTAGTGAAAGTTATCTTGGGCATGATCACTCAGTAGGATAAGTATTTGGTAACGGTGAGTCATGCAGTCTATAAGAATATAGTTCACATCGAATGTTGAAAAAAACGAATCTGAAGATACGTCAGTATTCAATAAATTTGGGCTGTTTACAGATGGCAAGTGAAACTGGAGATAAATACTAGGATGGATGGCGGGGGGGGAATTTGGGCCTGGTACTGCGGGTGTTATGCAGAGCGCAGCAGTTGTTTAGGTCCGTAATGTTGTAATTAGAGTCAGGGATGCAACTGTACTTAGCTACTGTTGTTGCTAGGTCTTGGGACTCTGCTCCCACAGAAGTGGCTAACACTTTTTTGCTGGAAAACTCTAAACACCTCGACGCGTAATGACTGATCGCGGATAACTTAGTGATCGTTTTTGATTTCACTTCTTTTCGCCCTCTGTGCATCAGATGAAAGTTACAAGAAATTATAGCCCGCCTCTTCCAGAATTAGTGCGATGCTAGACCATTAAAGTAATTGTGGGGCGCTGCTTCCATAAATGGGTGCCAGTTGAGCAACAGCTTCTTCGATTGCGTCAACTCCAGTTTGAAACCGTTTGAAGAGCACACTCGGCGCGAACAAGTTGGGAGAAAGATCCCTGGATCCCTTCTGAGGTCGCCTGCGTCTGTTTGTATTGGCTACTCCTTCTCAGTTAATGCTAAGGTCCAACTTAAAATAGTTATTTAGATATTTGACTGACGCAAATTTGACAGGATCAGAAGGCGATTGTCCGTGCTCATAGAACAACGCCGAAAGTGAGGCCAGAGAAGAGCGAAATAGGATATTCAGGAAGACATGGTGTATTTGATGATCCACGGCAGAATATCTATAGAGTGTGAATTACTGGCTGCATGATCATGTAGGAGCCACGGAGTTTCAAATGGAATAGAGTTTAGTTGATGTGTTTACAGCCTAACTGGTCAGCTAAAACTATGAAGGCATTACTAAAGTCGTCGAATCCTAGCATATTGATTTGCAACTATCGCTCACTTCATTTACGACTTGTATGCGAGAGCCCAAAGACAACATCAGCCGGAAAGAACACCATATGGCTTCATTGCTGGTGCGTTCAGTGAAAGGAGCGGTCCCGGGCAGTTTCAGCTTATTCTAGTACTCTTCGAAGGAGATACAACGATTAATGGAATAATAAGTGGATTGCGATACCAGCAGTCCTTAGACCTGTAGTCCGATTGTCCTTGCGCATGAAGCATGAGCGAAACTATGAACACCATGACAAAAACCACGAGAAAACAAAGATAGGGACAAGTTACATGAAAAAAACATTAGCAGCTTAACACTAAAGTTCATAGACAAATGTATGTATACGTATTTTGAGGTTAATGGATGCTTTTTCTTGTTCCCATTCCTAAAGTAGTATTTATAATACAGTGATATAAAATAGAGAACCACTAACAACCTGTAAGGACTGGACAGCTGCTTCGTCCTAGTATGAGACTCCTCTGTAGCACGCACACTACCCGGCTAGAGGCAGAACTCAGGAACTTCAGGTTTCACAGTGAACGGGTTGACTATTCAGAAAATTGGCCGGAGTTCACGGGTCAATGGTTTCATTCCAGATATCCGTCTCGCAGGACGTTGCTACTGAGCATTATGCGTCAACTTAGACTGAGGCCAGTGACCACTTTATCCCTTAAGGTAATGTAATTTAAGAACTTACACTGGGATATATATGTCAGAACACAAGGAAAACAGCTGTGAAAAATACGTCATTGTCTCAGTAAATCATGGTGTGCAGATGAAACGAACAAGAGAACATTCCTATGCATAGTGTTTGAACATTTTTTCAAATATCTAGAGAACTAGACGGTCAGATTTGGTAATTTACATGATCCGGCAATTTAATCCCTTGTTATTGATTAGAAAAATGAATCCAAGCCTTTATATAGGAGCTGTTGTCTTTTCAGATGCTTCCATGGCATATCTTTTATTTATTTCCTTCATTCAAAGCTGGAGGGGTGTACTCAATGAACAATGAACTAACAGAAAAACAACCATCGCGAAGCCGAATGGCTGCCCTCTTAATAATTCATGACCGGGAGTATAATAAATAAATAAATAAATAAATCCTAAGTTGATATAACTCAATCCATGTCGTCTCCCTCCACCTTGTACATTGAAGTCAAATGCTTTGTAAACTGTAGCAAACCGCTTAATTCGTCTGACAGTGTGCGCAAATCAACTTTGGTGCTAGCATGTTTATTAAACCAACGTTCGCGGTCACTGACGGCCGTGTAGCTCCAAGAAACACTAGTAATCCTGTCCGACAGAAGCGGATGTCGATAAAATCAGATTCAAACTACAGAAAGCGACGGAAATGTGAGTATCTTTTAAGATTACTGACCTTGTTGATGTAATTGTATTGTCACACACTTCAGTTGAATCCCTCGTATACTGACTTCATGAAAGCCACAAGTGTTCACCACCCTTCGATGTTGACGGCAATAGTGGTCATCACAGCTTGTTCGAAGATCAGGAGCCTATGAATAAGAACTTGTCATTTCAGCTTATTTAAATCAGCAGTATCCGTGGGTTACTCATGGAACAACTAAATTTCTAGCCACTGTTGCAAACAGGGGTGTTTTGCAGCACTGATGTCATTCAACATCTGAGAATTAGCTGTTTAGTCGTTTGACTCTTAAGGATTGTAGTTATTCCTAGCATGAGGTAAAACAGACGACGGTAATTATAGTTACACACATTTTGAGAGGATCACATTTACTTGTGCATTACCTTATTGTTGTTTTCCCATGAAGTTTTTTGTTTGACGTAGATAGGATTAGTGCATAATAGGCCTTACTGAGTACATACTAACGAAGTGTAATTTTTTAGTGGTCCAACATACACTAATTAGGTTTCAAAGCGGTGTCACACAAGTGATGATGTAAATCTTATTGTAGCATTGATCCCAGTCTTCTGAGTCATTTAGTGTTGCATTTATTTTTTACTGCTGCTAATTAAGGTTCTGCGGACGAATAAAGCGGCGTAATGAGAATATAACAGAAGGATTTCACTTAATAACCTTGTATGTTTTATAAAATTCCCCAGGCATATGTTGACTCCTATAAGATTAAGTGGGACTGTGGCTCCTAGATTTAGGCAATTGGTTCAATCAGTGGTCAAGGGTTCGAAAACTGCTGCATTCACCGGGGTTTGGTCAGATAGCTATTATCATTAGTCCTCTCGCAATAGAGGTGGCTTATACTTGTTTCGCGGATGTTTGCAATGTTGCGTATCAGCTTTCGTTTAGTAAGACTGAAAGATCCCGTCTAGTTCCGAAGGTTTAGTCAGAATTGCTGTTGGAATGTGCAATTTTCTCAACTGCGTTCGAACCACATAGGTTGCTTATGGAGTCTTATTTTGAAGGAATATATCGTATAATGGTATTAACTATCGCTTGCGATGTTATGCTAACCTAGTAACCATCTATCGTCGCACTGTTATCTTAAGCCGGGGCTAGAAGAAGATTAAAGGCGATCATACTTAAAGGTAGCAGCAAACCACGGGGTGTCTGACTTTTGTTCTTCGCCATATTAGGTGGAATATGCACCCACGTGTCGGAGTGTGCAGGACAACCGGAATTGGCGGTTTTAGATCAATTGATATGACTATTTGTGGCGCAGGTACATTCACACACTGTCTTGATCCCAATGGTCATGTCGCATGTTATTGTTTTGCTCCCTTGTTTTTCACTATATTACTTCGAACGACTGTTGATTGCATTGTTTTCCAACTACCATATTTGCAATCTTGGTGTCTTTTGCCTTGATGTGGTGATGCGAGGTGCAGGAACTATGACTGTTTCGCAGTAGGGAGATCCCTTGTTGATGTCAACTGTGTCTGACAAGTCTGTTCAACAACCTAGTCTACCATGTAGTTAACTAGATATTTACAAGGATTTCCTCCTGCATTTACAATAGTGAAAGCCTTGGTTTGGCTATCGTTAGTATGTTAAGTAGTTTGTGCTCGACGTACTTTTGAAATTCATCTATTTAAGAAACAGTAATCGTGACATTTTTAGTGTGGTAATATCGATATATTTTGTCCGTTTTAGTGTCTCGCACCAACGTGCATTCGGGTTATTTTAAATTTGAAGTCTAGTTTGTCTTTTCACCTTAATTGTTACCTGTGGGATTTTGAAGTGACGCATAATAGTCATTATCAACGTAATCTAAAAATAATGGGGTTGGTTCATCACCATGAAAACAACTCATTTCGCACTGGTTTGACAATCAGCAATTATTTTTTGTGTTCACTAGATATTTCATGAGATTGATTTATATTTTAGCTGCCCTATTCAGTTATTTCTGTTATGGTTTTCGAGTTGTTCACGTTCCGCTCTAAGCTATCCTAATAATAGTTTAAAATCACTTTCAGTTGAAACCCCGGAAAGCCCTAATTCGCCGTCACAGTCAATTTCACACGTTAAACAAATCAAACATAATGTTTCAACGTTCACCATTCCTGGCATGGTTTTGTTTTTTGGTGTTGGGGATACTGGTCAACTTGGATTGGGACCAGATGTGACAGAGCGTTCGAGGCCTGCTCGTCCTAGCGTTGAAAGCATTAACGCGTTGCAAATAACTGAGGAAAAGTCTCTAACCCATTTCACACAAATATGCTGTGGTGGCATGCATTCAGTCTGCTTAACTGTATGTGGCCGCGTCGCAACATGTGGCTGCAACGATGAAGGAGCTTTAGGAAGACCAACGAATTCGGAAGCGAGAGCAACTGATTCAACTGACAATGGTTCATATCCCATTGTAGATGAATGTCATCTTGGGTTGGTACCATTCCCGACCAAAGTGGAAATAGTAATGGTAAGTAGTATACAAAGTAATCGTTTTCAGCCGATTTCAGTGGTCCTGTTGATTTGTGCACGGGCACCTTTTGTATCGACATATATTGCTGATAAAGTTATATATCCACTTCACAAGCAACCCACAGTCGTAACATCTTTTTAGTACAGATTCAGAAATTGGAAGTTTTTTATACGACCACAGCTTTTTGGAATAAATTTGCCAAAAAAGATTTACACTGATAAACTATTTCTGCGATATGGCCGATATTTCCAGTGGTTTCATAAAAACTTTCCAATGAGGTTTGTCCTAACATTTCGAACTCACGAAATGTGAAATATCCTTATTTACTAAAGTAGTTGTTGCACTTAGCCCAAGGTTGCTTGTTTCCTAGCCTTCCGCCGATTGACGCCAATTATTTATCACCCCTTATGAAAAGTTACAAACCGATTGCAAATACAAACTAGCTTTAGTATGGTTATAAACATACAGATCATACTTGTTACGAATGGTTCAAGTATTCGTATCCTATTCACTTGGTTTTCATTAGAACTTTCGGTCCCCACTTTAGTATGTTATTGTCAAACTGCCGTTAGTCCAGGAAGAATCCTTACTGGGTGAGACTAGCAAGTATATTATTAATCCGGGCAGGTGGATATGGAAGGCAATTTTAAATTATATACAGCCCACATGGATATGGTTTTTATAGTACGTGCGGCGTTTTCATAAAACCTCTCCTTTAATATTTGTTCATTTTTTAACGGTTTCATTTGTGATTACTGTAGCTTTAATGATCACATTAAACGCAAGTAAAATAAAGTCGATAATACAGTCAAAACGTTTGTACGGTTTTTTTTCTATTAGTATGGCGTATTCATTTTCTTGCTGTAGGTTTCTGCTGGTGACAGTCATACGGCAGCCTTAGATAGCAATGGTCAAGTGTGGTTATGGGGAACATTTCGAGGTTCAAGTGGTCCTATTGGTCTAACACAACCCGGAGAGATTTGTGCAACACCCCGTCCTTTACTAGCTCATCCTATGAATGGTTCTGCTGAAGGTTACGAGAGTAGTTCAGGCAGTGATTACAAACGAGCGCCTCGGTTCACGAATTCAGCACTTTTAAGTCCTAGTGCACGTGTGATCAAAATTGCTTCTGGACAAGACCACTTAGTCTGTCTGACTGATGAAGGTCGTTTGTACACAATGGGATGTGCTGAGCAAGGTCAGTTGGGTCGAGTTGCAGAACGATTTGCGAAGGATGGTGGCCGTTCGGGAATAAGTAAGTAGAAGTTGCTATAAGCTGTACCCTTTATTTGTGAATAGTAACAGTAACTTTGGGGTTGTATAGTTAAAAGACTAAGTTTATCTCAATGCTGTGATGCTTGTGCATCACATTTCTGATGGTCCTATTTCGCATTTACTCATGAAGTCAGTGCATATAGAACCGAAAAATAGGACAAATAGTTGCGATAATAAGTTGTTTAAATTAAAGATAACAAAAGATGATTTTGGCATTACAAGATGAAGTCTACTAAGGTAGTTGTATTGTAGGGATAAATTGTTTTTGTACTCATAAAGGTGGCTTCAATTTGCATATGGTCATCCTTTCTGCAAGTTTCAGTGTGCGCCTCTGGCTGTTTCTACATAAAATGTAGAAATCTGTTTTCTGAACATTCATCCGTTTCCTACATGTTTGGGTGTCGATGATGGAGGTTCTCTATCACTTGCGCTTATCAAAGTTTTACAACAGCTATTTTTGAAGCTATATAGATACATAATACCTCACCCTCAACTACAAGACTCGACTGCTTCTTGCATCTGTGCACATTTAAATTGGAATGGAAGGCATGAAATTTGAAGCAATCGTTTATAGTGCTTAAGTTTGTGGTGAAGCATTTTTGTTTTCCAACAAGGATAAGCTTGGCTACGTAATATTTTTTACCAATAACATCACAAAGTCATGCTACTGTAATCCCCTCTTTATGGTACAGTTGGAGTGCTAGGGACATTTTTCTCGAAGATGGAGTACAAAGCGGTCTTTAGCGCTAGAGGACTTCAGTGGTTTGTAAACTTCAATCAATATTTGTTTCCCATGGGTGTCCTGATCGGTAATTCCATATTTTCATACGTTGTATTCGATGTACATATAGAATGAGAAATTTATTGGACAAGAAATGGAAATTCAAGTATTTCCCTGTCCACATAGACCTCCTGTAGATCGACCATGTTATCTGACCACTTTTCGACTCAATGATGGCAGATAATTGCTGTTCTCTTCATCGCACGTTGCTTGTTCACGTGGGCACTTGACTTTCAACCAGTAAATCATGGATTCGAAAACCGCCCTACTTACTGAAGTCTCGAAGCCTGGTAATATCATTTGGTCTCAACGTCTGAACTCTATGCCGAATCAGACAGCAGGCATCGCTCGCCAAACCGGAGGCAGTAAGGTGCATCTTTGCTCCATTGGTAAATGAGGACAACAAGTAGGCATTTATAGAGGAGTTAGCTCAGCATTTATCTGAACGTGACAGCAACGTTTATCCTGAGGAAACCTGTCATGGGGTGATATTGTCTGCTGTAGAAACAGTGGTAAAGGATTGGTAGCTTGGACTTGAAGGTTAGCAACGTCATCGGATCTCCGCGATGTCATTCGAACTGATTGATGCGAGAAGACTGATTCCAGTGGGCTCTAACCACGATGAAGAGCGAAAGCAACCTAAACGCAAGTTGACCAAGTCTTCGCGTCGACCGCGAGCAGAGGTGGCTTACCGAAAGCCAGAGAGATAGAGAAGGTGTCAACGGTGAGAAACTATTTAGGCTTAAAAAGGATAGCGACCAGAAGAAGACGACGGCTGGTGAAAATATCACCGTAAATGATGGGATGGTGATAAGTCTTCAGCATAGGTGGTTAGAACGTTGGGAAAAACACTGGAGCAGAGTTCAACTGATCCTTAGCAACTCTTCAGTCGCCCAACATCGAGCCTGAACCTGAATGGGACGTAGATGTCGGTCCTCTAACTCTCTTTGAAGTTGGGAAAGCTGTATTGAACCTGAACGTATGGGTAGTGGCAGGACCTGATGGTTTGCCAGCTGAAGTTCCAAGAATGGAGGTAGGAAATCGTTGATTGGAGTGACGGAGGTACTAGGTAGTGTATGAGAATGAGAGGTAGTGCCATCAAACTTGTCTACTTCACTGATCATCCCAGTCTATAAGCAGGAAGAGAAGTTTTACTGTGGCAACCATATGGGTATAGGTTTGACTAATATTATGTTCGAGATCCTAGGCTCCATTGTCACCTGACTCTTGAAAGGGGCTGGAGAACAGGAAGCTCGAGAACACCAGGCAGATTTCAGACCTGGGTGAGGGTGCATCGATCATATCTTCACCCTGCCACAGGTCTTGGAACGCAGGAGTTCTAACCGGCGTCTGGCACCTGCTTTATTTCTTAGCCTGAAGACGGCATTTTACTGTGTCGACCGTGAGGTGTTGTGCAGTGTCTGACTGTGAAGGGAGAGTGTGGAGCAAGTATATGGTACTAATAAAGGCTCTGTCATTGAACTCACGCAGTCGCTTAAGGGCTTATGAAAAGTTGCCATATGAACTGACGACAACTAGTGGTGTCTGCTAGGAATGCCCACTGTCACACTTTTTGTTTGACTTTTCGTTATGAACGTAGTAATGGACATAATCTTGAATACATGTGACTTCAGAGGGATTGAACTATTCCCTAGAGGTCATCTGGTTGGTTTTGAGTATACAGACGATACTGTCCTGTTAGGGGAAGACGCAACCTCACTTGGTTAACTAGGTACTAGCCGGTCCTACGCTAGGGTAAAGAGGGAAGGTTGGGCATAGGGCTAGCAAACCTACCCCGTAAAACCAATCCAACCGCTACAGAAACTTCGAAGCACAGACAAAATATAAAAAATAAAAACAAACTTATTCCTCTCTGGAATCGGAGAGACGAAATGACGCCGTTTAGTGAAAGCCTTCGGGAAGCCAATTGGCCGATGTGTCTTCTCCCTCTCGATGAAAGCGAAAGTAAGGATGGGGACATGGAATGGACCTAAGTCTTAGCAAGAACTGACGCGGAATCATGCTCCTGTCCCTGTCCACACTAAGCATAATATTTTGCCGCATCATCCTGGCGAGACTAAAGGATGCGCTGGATTCAAAACTACTGGACTCTGAGTTGTTACTGACTATTCAGTAGTGTGTTCGCTTGTTCAGGACACTTTTGTGTAGGAGATCGCACTTTGTGGTCTTGACTACTGGATTCTTTCCAACGGAAATCCTGTTGACAGCACAGGCGGGTTGCAGGTGCGAAACTACTCAGCTGTAAGATTGCATCATATCATATATCTAAGGTTAAGGAATGAAGCGCTTTACTGTCAAGTCTCAGCAGGCTAACATTAACCTGGAATATGTTTTCAGTATCTCTTCGTCTTGTTATATCCTCAGTAAAATATCGACCCTCCAGGCTTGGACGAGTCATTGTAATCTGTAAACATGAATGCCTCTAATGTTTTTCTGAACCATATGGGGAAATGTCCTGGTGAGACTAAAAATCCTTTTGATTCAAGACTTCGACCGGAACAGACTGGATTCAGGAAGTACAAATCATATGCTGACCAAATTGCAACGCTGCACTACCCATCATCATAGAACAGAGTATAGAATGGCAGTCAACCCTCTACCTCAACTTCATCGACTTCGAGAAGGCCTTCGACAGCGTCGACCGAGAAGTTATTTGGCAAGCAGTTGCTTCAACACTACGGAATACCACAAACCTTCATCAATCTCATTCAACAACTATATGAAGACGCCACATGCCAGCCAAGTAATTCACAATGGGAAGCTCAGTGGTGCCTTTGAAGAGAAGACAGGAGTGAAACAAGACTGTCTACTATCACCCATGATCTTCCTGATTGTAATGGACTGGACTGGATCATGAAGCAAACAGTGAGGAGCGAGAAGAGGGGGATACGCTGGACCGCGGAAAAGAACCTAGGAGATTTGGATTTCGCCGATGACTTATGTCTAATGTCACACGAACTCGAAGATCTACAGACGGAAACTGACAAGTTGACAGAAGAGGCAGGGCAGCCAAGGAAGACTGGACTTCAAGTGAACGTAGAGAAGACAGAGATGATAATACCCAACCAACAACAAAAACAAGAGGCACCAGTTACCATGAACGGGAGAAACTTAAAGGAAGTAGCCTTCTTCACTATCTAGGCATGACTGTCTCAACTGCAGACGGCACAGATGAGGACGTCAAAGCCAGGATGGGAAAAGCAAGACAGGCGTTGGGTAGCCTGAAAGCAGTGTGGAGATCTACTGCACTCTGGATCAAGAACGAGATCCGGATTTTCAACACCAACGTCAAGTCAGTGCTCCTGTATTGTTCAAAGACTTGGCGCGTTACGAAAGGCATTTCCAACAAACTACAGATATTCATCAACAACTGCCTACGCTGGCTCGTTACTGAAAATCAGATGACCAGAATAACAAGAATAAGCAACAAGGAACTCTGGCTGGCTGGCAACGAACCAACTAAGCAAGAAGCTATCACTGAACAAATATGCATTTGAAGGAAGTGGAGATGGATCGGGCATGCACTAAGAAGATATTCGGGGACATCACGTGCCAGGCCAGGCACTCGAGTGGAACCCAGATGGGAAACGGTGAGTTGGGTGTCTGAGGTTGACATGGAGGAGATGGTGTGAGGAAGAAATGAAAGCTTCTGGGCAGTCGTGGGGCCAGGTTCGAAAGATTGCACGGAACAGAGTGGAATGGAGATGTGCTACTGAAGCCCTATGTTCCACTAGGAACCCAAGGGACAAATAATAATTATATTACTGTTGATAAGGCAAGACGCTAACGCAATGCCGGATCTTCTGGACACGTCTGGCAGAAATCTGAGTACGTTTGGCATGTGTTTCACTGGCTCCTGTGAAATGTTAGATGATAGATGCTCCAGAACTGGTCTGGAACTACTTTTTTTAAGGATAGGGAGTGAAGTGGTGGAACGCGTCGAGCACATCACTTACCTGTGAAGTTACACAGCACGAACGGGTTGGTTGCTGACAAAACCTCAATTTGGATACAGAGGGTCCGTTTGGCGTTCGCCAACTTGCATCACTCGTAGTGCCTACTGGTGAGGTGTCCGGCTACCTATCAGTGGATGAGCATGCTGAACTGCAGTTTGTTCTGTGTTGTCGTACGGCTGAGACATGGCCGTTAAAAGTAGACGATATGAAGCGATTACGGGG